AAAAATACTTATTTTTTAATTTAACCACATCATTATTTCATTTATTTTAATTATTTGTCTTACCATACAAAGTTTTTAGTTAACTTTTGTTACTTTTTTAAGTGCATGTTGCATTTTTTTTTTTTTTTGCAAAATGAATATATATATAATAAAGAGTATAAGGACTACTCTAACCTCTTACAATACAAAAACAATTCTTTGAATCCCAAGAGATAGAGCAGGAAAAAACTTTGCCTGTTCCATCAACTCTGGGTCAAGATAAAAGAGTGATTATTCTCCTTAAAATCATCATGCCTCATGCAAATTTATCCAGTCCTGCAACAATGTCAATTTATTTGCTCCGTTAATCTTTCAAGCATTCCACAGGGTCCAAAATCCAGTAGCATATATTAAAAGAATACCCTAGTGGTCTGTTTTTTATCCAATGGAATGTCTGCTACTACACAAGTTCAAAAATCATACTGTACTGACATCCAGCTCATGATTTTTGAAAATCATTTCATTCCTAGCAGCCCATGAAGACCAAATTGTTGCAAACCATAATGCATCCCATCCTATCCTGACATTTACATCTTTAAAAAAAAGATAAATGTTACTCCAAGGATGCATAACAGTTGTCAATCCTTATTGAGGTAGTCCACCATTGAAGACATTTGGACCACACTAAGTATGCAATTTTACAGTGAAGAAATAAATGATTTATTTCTTCAATGCTTTCACTATAGAAGTGACATGTAGCAAGGCTAAAATTTGAAATGATACCTCTTTTATTCAAATTCAGCTTCAAAGGGATTCTGTCCTATAGAACTTTCCACGCAAAAGCATATATTTTTGTGGGAATAAGTCTGCACCAAACTCTTTCATACATCCAATTCCTACTGTCTTGTTGATTTCCAGAGAGGACGTAATATCCTGATTTAACTGAGTAGATACCGTCATCATGCCTCCACTCCTAGCTAGTGGTCTTTTTGTCCCCGAGTTGGTTGGGTTGCCTCCAGTAGACTCCATAGCTCCGACATCAAGTTTTCCTCCCAAGAGAAGATAGGTCCCCTCCATGTAATGACCAGATCCGGCTTCCATTGTTCCAGCATCCCATTTGAGAAATGCTCTTTGTTTTGTCTGTAGAATTCAAAAATAATATTGAGAATTTGTTAGCATGTAATATAAATTATGTTCAAATCTTTATTTTAAAAATTAAAAAAATTAACAATTATTTGACAGAAAGAAATACAATCTAAGTATTAGATTTATCAACAAACAAATATTTTGTTAGCTAAATTCAAGTGAAAAATATGTTTTTAAAATTACTTTAAAAAATTAATTTTAAAATATACGTATAGAATCTTATTCAAAAACACTTAATCATCTAAATATAAAAACAATCTCTTTTGAAATTTTACTTCAAGAAATAGATATCTATCCTACAGTTTTGTCTCTTTTTTGAACAGAAGCAGAATCAGTACTGATGTCTTGTTGGATTATTGTTCTAATACATGGGAAAAAGTCATTCATGCTCAGATGTTGCTTGATCTTTGATATGGCCGA